TTATTGTTACCTAATTACAAAATTTTTTAAAATTTATTTTCATCTTTTCTATATGTATGTATTTTTACCTTCTTTCCTTCTTAGCTAGACTGCCTGGCCATGTATTTTCTTTTCCAAAGAACATTTTACTCTTTTAATTTATATATAACAAACATGTAGCATAATGTCAACATAACTTTTATGTGTGCTAGGAAACCAAAAAGTTCATGCAGCTCATTTTTGCTGTGATATTTGCATTACTCCAGTGGTCTGGAACCAACATCTATAAAGGTTACTAAAAAGTAGAGAGTTGGGAAGATTATTACTGTGTTCTTTAAATTTTTTTTTTTTTTTTCAGAATCAAGGATTGAACTCAGGCCCTTGTGCTTGCCAGGGAAGCGCTTATTCCACTGAGCCATCTCCCCATCCCCCTGTTCTTTAAATCTTTTAATATGACTTAAGGGAATGTGGAAAGCATGTGTTATTTTTATATCCTTACATTTAAATGAAGCATTTAAATACTGTCTATATGGAAGTGAATCATTATGATTCACATACTCATGAGCAGAGGTAGAAACTGCTTTTCTGAACTCTATTGGGTGCATTTTTTGTATCCTTTCATGGAGTGCTTGGCATTTTTAAAAATGAAGTGCTTAGTATCAGATCCGGGCAAAGGGCTTAGCTCACTGGTAGAGCCTTGGCGAGCATGTGAAAGGCCTTTAGTTCCCATCCCCCAGCACAATAAAATATATATACAATCGTACAACTCTAAATGATTGTGCCAAAAGACTGGCCCCCTGACGAGGGGAGTGTGATCACACTTGGGACCACAGCAGTTATGGAAAGGTGGGAACAGGTTTGAATATGATAATTCAAGAAAGAGGTTGTGAAATAGATACAATTACTTGTGATACACACGCTACCCTTGTAGTACTTCGCCTCAAGGATTGCTTGGCCTTCCCTTGCATTCCCTAGTAGCCAGCAGCCCCCAAACACCAGTGGGGACTCAAACCTTTAATTCACGTTTCCGTACCAATGGTTTGTTAGAACTGCCTGCTCACTGTACAATACTCCCATTCTTTTTTTTTTTTTTTTTTTTTTCGGTACTGGGGATTGAACTCAGGACCTTGCGCTTGCCAGGCAAGCACTTATTCTGCTGAGCTATCTCCCCAGCCCCCAATACTCCCATTCTTCCTGTACTTTAATGCAGTGGTTCCTATTGTCTAGTTCAAGATCTCAGAGTTATCAATAATGCAGTTACATCTGTTCACCCAGTGGTGCCAAACCCCTACACCATGCTGTCTCATATCCTTCCTTCTACTACTCACTTTACTGTCCTTGACCTCAAAGATGCCTTCTTCACCATTCCCTTACACCCAAATGACCAGGACCTCTTTGCCTTTATATGGACTGATCCAGAAACTCTCCAATCCCAACAGCTCACACAGACAGTCCTGCCTCAGAGATTCAGAGGTAGTCCTCACTTCTTTAGCCAAGCTCTTGCTGCTGATCTTGAGACCCTTGATTTGATCTTAAGCCTAGCCTATTCCTTCAGTATATTAATGACCTTCTCCTCTGCTCCTTCCTCTCATACTTTAACCCTATAACACGCAGCAGCCACTCTCAATTTCCTGCCACAATGAGGTTATAGGGTCTCCAGCCAAAGCTCAGATGGCTTCACCAAAAATCAAATATCTAGGACTCACTCTCACCCCTAGTACTCATGTGATCACTGCCAACTGCAAGGGTCTCCTTCAAGATCTTCAGGTGCCCACCACAAAGCAACAAGTTCGTACTTCCTTGGTCTGGCTAATTTCTTTTGCCTTTGTGTTCCCAACTTTGCTTTCCCAGCTTAGCTCCTCTATAAAGCATCGAAAAGTTCCTTGTCAGAGGAATCCTACAGCTCCTATACATTCCTCATTTCACAAATTACAGCAGGCTCTCCCAAGGGCCCCAGATCTCTCTCTCGCTAACCCAACCCAGCCTTTTACCCTATACACTTCTCAAAGTCATAATGTGATGGGCATTTAAGGCCACAAAAAGGTACCTTCCTTCCAGGCAGTAGCATACCTGCTAGACAACACAGTTTAGCGATGGGCTCCATGCCTCTGCTTTTAAGAGGACAGCCATGCTAACACAAGAAGCAAAAAAGTTTACTTGAGGACAATCTTATCACAGTTCACTCACCCCATCACCTTAGTGAGCTCATTGCACACAAGGCACCTCCAACCTTTTTTTTTTTTTTTTTTTTTTT